TCAATTCTCTCTCCTCAAATCCTCCCATTCCACCCCCACCCCCCTCTTCTTTTGGTGCTGGGAAGTAGGTGGTGCGGACAGGGGGAGCAGGGTGCTGGCTTCTCCTGGGGAAGCTCCAGGGCATCAGTCGTGTTCTCCTTTATCAATGTTGGCTGGGGGCCCGAAGACTCCTGTGTTTGTCAGGAGCCCGCGGTTTGCTCCAAGAGATAGCTGGTGGCTGGCCCTGTGGCACACCATCGATGGGTCGCCCGCCCCGTCCACCTGCCCGTCAGGCAGGGGGTGGCTGCAGGGTCCTCCGTCCCCCCTCATGTGGCTGAGAGGCCTGTGGGACACGCAGCCTCCTCTCCTTATGCCAAAGGAGTCCCCCACCCACCCCCAGGCGCCCCGCGGCCCCTAGTGTTTGTTGAAGCATTTTGACCATTCTCATGGCCACTGCATATTTATTTTTAATGTTTTCAGTTTTTGTTTTAAAAACCTCTTTGACTTAAACGGGTGTGGAGAAGTAAAACAGGCAGAATGCCCCCCAATCTTGAGGGGGTGGGGAGGGGAGGAAACCTTTCCGAACCCAACACCGCCCCCACCCCCTCCCCACCACAGCTCTAAAGCACTTGCTTCAAGTAATAAGCACTTTTGTGAAAAGGCCTATTTTAAGTGAGGACCTGGGAGCAGCCCGGGTCCCAGCAAAGGAGACAGAGTGCGGGCTACCTAGGAGACGGAAAGCAACTTGGGAACTGACCTGAGGGAGGGCGAGATGGAGAGAGAAAGCCAGTTTTTAGTTTCTGATTTTGCGGGGACCGTTTCTGGTTGGGTAGTGGTGCTGGGAGGGTCGTGTACTAGCTATCCTTCAGACAGACAAATGGCACAAACTGTGGGTCCCAGGATGGACCAGCAGACCCAGGTCACTGCCACTGCCCAGCCAAGGTGGGGGGGCCACCTCCCCCACCTGTGGCCCCCTGAGCCATAGGACTGCTGAAACCACTGAATGTACAGCCCAGGGCGGGTGGGGAGCAGCCCCTGGGGGAGGGGCTTCTCCCTTTGTTCGGTGCTGTGGGG